CCACAGGGCCACAGGGCCACAGGGCCACAGGGCGTTTCAAAAATGCTTTTTCCAAAAACTTGATGTCATTGGCACTTTAACACAACAAAAACACTAATGTGGTCACTCTTTGTATTTCATGTGATGTAAAGACTTTAGTTTTGGAATGTTCGTATTTATTTATATACTGCTGAATTAACTAACCTGAGTTCAGTTGTTTAATGATGAACTCAATCTGTCTGTTGAGGTCTGGGTTCTCTTCTTTGTTATAACAGCGAAGAATCTCCTCAATGCTCTAAAGACATAAAAMAAATAAGCATACATACTGTTCATTTATTGCTATTCTTTTAATTTCTCTCAATATGAACGGGTAAGTTTTCAAACAAYGACAATATGTTTTAGCTGAAGCAAATGAGTACTACGTTTGGGATATACAGTAAATGTAAAATCCTTTTTCTATCAACTTTTCTATCTCACCATCTCTTTGGCTTCCTGTCGCACTGAGGGAACACACAGGATACTGTACAAGGCTCCGTTCACGTACGGTCGAATCTGTGGAAAGAAAAGTGGCATAAAAAAAAAACAATATTTGAATGATAAATGATAACAGTGTGTTTGAACGTGCACTTATAAAATGTATCGACTTGGCAGCTAATTCAAACCTTTATTTTCCTTTTTTGTGATAAAATAAAATTGATAAAAATGGTGAAGTGTATTTTAATGATGACCGTTCTTCTGTGTCTTTGAACTCTCAGCAGTGAAAGCTTAAAGAAATGTCTCTGAAGGCAAAAGTTATTCTTGAACAGTGAGGTTTGTTCAGAATAACAGCTTAAACCAAATCAAGAGACTTCGGGCCAACTGAGTGAAGATCTRCCCAGAACTTTCTGGGTCACCCCTTCTTATAACATTCCGCCACACCCAGAAGTACACAAAGCAGGATCAACCTACATGCATTCCTTCTATGGTAAAGGGGTTTGCTCCTGAAAGGTATTTTAAGACACACAGATATGTTTACCTCTGAAAGCTGTTTTTAACAAGTGAGGTAAGGATTAGCACATTTTCCCATCCTTATAAGGAATTGCTGAGCTATTAATCTAAGYACAAACAACTCCTTGATTGACACACACAGGCCTCAGCACAATTCTGTAGGATGACTCCATACACSTCAATGGACAAACGAGCTTAATAAATTTTGTTTTAACAGATATCTTTAATATCTGCTTGGGTTACTGATGTTTAAGTAAATATTTGAGAAATTCTTCATGGATATATGGGAAGGCTTTTATTCAACAGATAATATACAGAACGAGTTGTGTACTTGTGAATGTGCTCTGTCGGCATATTCCTCACATTGTACGTGCAACATCTGTGTCTGTGTGCTGACAGATGTGTGAATCACCTCGTGGTTCTCATGTCCGAGGAGGTCAGTCAGGACTTTTAACACATGCTTGGCGTTCTCCGCACACTTCCTTTTTCCTGCAAAAGGCATTTACCATACACTCACACAAGCTCGCTTTATTTTTGCGTCAGAATGAATCATTTTTGTTTGTTTGAATTAATCAAAGCAACAAGTGCTTTCCACAGGCCCAATAATATTATTTCACTCAATATGGGCGCAGTGAGTGGGCAGAGGCTCTTAAAGGGATCTATGATTAGTTGTAACATTAGACTTTATTTGATAAACATTTATTTTAACGGTAAAATAAAGACTGTATAATACTGTAGGCTGTTTAGTTTTTATAATTTTTAAAAATATATTTTAACATAGACGGAGCCATTTTATTTAAACGCAAAGAATTCTGGGTAAATGATGACGTGGATAGGTCCTCGGTATGAGCGAGCTATATCCACCCTGAAGGTTAATCTTGGACAATATTTGACAATCGGCACTTTTAAATGAAACCAGAGAGCGTTGACAGAGAGGAGAAGATAGAAATGACTCAACTTGTAACTGAAAATATGGATGGTGTAACAACAGAGCTGCTTCATGGAAGAAAAACCTCAGCTTAGTCTGTTAGCTTTAGCATTAGCACCGATGCTACTGTATATTGCCTTATATGTATTAGCTCGGTGCTAACACGACAAACAAGCTAAACTGAGGTCCTCCATCCATATTTTCAGTTGCAGGCTGAGTCATTTTTGCGTTCCCCTCTCTGTCATGTGGATGGAGGACCTCAGTGACGAGAGGAGAATGTGTAGCGCTGAGCTAATACTTGTATATGGTGATAGCGTTGGGGCTAATGCTAAAGCTAACAGGCTAAGCGGAGTTTCTTCTTCCATGAAGCAGCTCTGTTGTCCTCCATCCATATTTTCAGTTACAGACTGAGTCATTTCTACCTTCTCCTCTCTGTCAACGCTCTCTGGTTTCATTTAAAAGAGCCGATCGTCAGATATTGTCCAAGATTAACCTTCAGGGTGGATATAGCTCGCTAGCAGCCTCGCACCGAGGACATATCCACGTCATCATTTCTCTAACTCCTTGTGCTTTTCATGTTGTTACCTTTAGTTCTCAGGCACAAGTTCATAAGCAGAGCTGCAGAGTACTCCAGAGTGTAATCGCTGAGGCAGTCTGAGTCCTGCAGCTCATCAACAAGCCAGACAATCAGATCATCTGCGATCATGGCCGTCTGCTGGCTCCTCCTGACAACGACACATTCACACAATTGATAAAATTCAATAACGTGTATATTTTAAATTAAATTTTACAATTATTATAAATATCATTATTAGTCATTCATTTTTCAAAAAGGCGCGCTGCTCAGACTTGTGAAAATTAAATAAACAATAAAAAATATGTAATAAAACTTAAGTTTTATTAGTAAAAACAACATCCAGAGGGCAGAATAAAAATGAGTTTATGAGCCTCGCGCCCTCAGGGGAAGAAAGTGTTCCTGAGCATTATTGTCATATTTAAGGCTGAATAACATTCGGCCTAATACAGAAGTAGAAATTTACCTAAGGCTGAGTTTCTGCAGAGCCACCAGCACATTTTCTCTCGTCAGGGAGTCCTTATCCTCCTTCTTTAGTGCCTCGGTCAGAATTTTTAGTAAAACAGGAATTTGGGAGAGGTAAGCCCGGCCTGTACTCATGAACACATAATGAAAAAAAAAGATTTAGGTAAAGAAAGAGTAGAGATTTTAGAAATACACAAATTAGCCTAAATAAAGACAACTCCCAACACTTGCAAAAACAATAGAATACAAATGAACCACTGTTCATGACTCGTGAGTCATACTTTTGTTGTCTTAAGCCAAAAACAATTCAACCATGTCAACTATTACCTGTGGCTAAGAGGATCAAATGCTTTACCTGCATCACATTGCAAGATGTTCTAGAGATATAAAAAAAATTCCTGCAAAGGAGAATGAAAACCAACCCCAGTCTTTTAACAATTGTACTTTTTGGTTTATTGTATGCTGCTGTACAGCACCATAAGCYGTTTCAGTGCCCAGTTGAAAGCTACCGGGGGCATTCCATTCATCAGTTTTCACAACTAGGTCGTGCAGGAAATGATTCATCTTACCATAATAATGCTTGAGGAAATCCAGTGTTGGCTGAAAACTTACCCTCTGCAAGCGAAGCAAAGGCATTGATGAGACGAGCCATGTACTGACGAACAACCTCATTTGATGATCTCATTAAATGAAGCACGGTTTTCTAAGTTAAAAAAAAGAAAACAAAAATATAAGTCAATAGATTTCAATCTAATGCTCAAATGTAAAGCCCATTTCTGACAATAGATACATATAAATATCTTATTTAATCTGCTTAAACAATAGCATCAAYACATCCTAATTTGTTTTTGCATTAAAAATAGTTTTATTTTACAATCTTATCTTTACAATTCAAATGCACCCATTATCTCTGTGACAAACTGTTGCAAGAATTTGAAATGTTTTGTTATTTGTCTTTGTGTGACAAACTATTTCACAACAACTTTCTGCTGGGGGAATCCTGTGTTTTTACTATATCAGGTTTTGTTGCTAGAACAGCCACAGGCTGGCTGAAACAAGAAGACTGTATGATTCCCTTGAGTCACATTTTTGCCATCATAAAAATTTAAGAACATTTGTTCCACAACAATCTCAGCACATTTGGTAATTTGGCTCCCCTACAGTGAATGTTCAGTATCGTTTTGATGTGGCTTGGAACTTTCTGGCAAGTACGTCAGAAGAAAGCTGCTGTTAGAATAGGATAATTTACACTCTTGAAAGAGATTATCAGTAACAAGAGCACCTACGCTGAAGGCTATTTAAAAAGAAAAAAAAAGGAAGAAAAAAGTGTGTGACTGGAACATTTGAGAATAAAATCTAACAAATAAAACTAACGCTCAAGCTTTGGGCTTGGTTACAGTCGTTGGGAAATGGACCAAAACAAACTGTGACACTGAAACTGCTGCCCCACCTGCTTTGTGTTGTAGCATTCCAGCAAATCATTGCTGATGAAGGCCTGAAGCACTGTGTCCCTCTGCTCACCWGGGAGAGAGCGAGTAAGTCTCTGAAGAATCAAGAACAAATCCAAGGATTAGGCCGATAAGAAGCTTAAAAAATTTATTAACCTTCTTTTTCTTTCAATTAACTTAATGGAAGCATTCCAAAATTAGAGTTCAAAAAATAGATTTTTTTACAGCATCCTAAAAAGTAGAGATGATTTATGAAACCAAGATAACAGACTGAAAGTAAATCAGACCTCATTATTGTGCATTTATTGATTTATAAAACAGAGGTTATGGTTTTTGGACCTGAACATCTTAGGGATCAACTTCGTAGCCTTTCACCTCCTCTGGATGGCATTAATCTGGTCTCCATTTCTAATGTAAAGAACCTTGGTGTTATTTTTGATCAGGATATGTCTTTTAACCCCATTAAAAATGTTACCAGAACCGCCTTCTTTCACCTGCGTAATATCATTAAAATTAGAAACATTTTGTCTAAAAATGATGCAGAAAAACTGATACATCCACTGATCAAGTCTAGGCTGGATTACTGGAATTCTTTATTATCTGGGCATCCAAAAAACTCTTTAAGAAGTCTTCAGTTGATC